TAGTTCCATACTCTCCCTGTTCCCAAACAATCTGCCATCCAGGCAGTAGCTCTTGACCCATCATACTCATTCCAGAATAAGAGTGTGTCCACACAGGGACGTATACTGGTATAATGGCTTTGTATAGGCAAGCAAAGGAGAACAAGAGTCTTCAGAGCAAATCGGAAGCTTCATAAAACTTAGTGCTGTGTAACTACTTAACAGTTGGTTTGTAACACTATTTTAATGTTCTATACAATACATTTTCAGTCATCTTATAGCTGTCCCTGCACAATATTTGGTTAAGGTAGATCGCAAAAAAGATAGAAGATTTTGTTTTGATGCAATACAACACATCATGGGTTTGGAGGCTTTTTCTTGCAATCAAATCACAGTAATCAATTTAACGATGGTGCAGTTTAACAGGGAGACCTACTGAAATGAAATTGGCTAGCATGCAACTTAGGGCCCAGTCTAACTCCCCTTTAAGTCCATGAGAGTTGGCTCAGGCACCCATTAAGACAAACATAAAGCAATAAGTAACCTTCTGCCCTGAGCATGCCCTGCATAGCTGTTTAAAAAAACAAACAAACAAAACATTAAATTCCCTTGGATTTAATGTTGCTATTTGCCATGCAACTTTCTCCTTATGGAAGTTCCATTTTAATCAATGGACTGTCAAGACAGGCAATGCATCCTAGACCGTTACGTAAGCGAGGCAAGCGTCTGTCTTGTTCAATCTTTTGACTCGATGAAAGAGGCAGAGTGTTTAGACAGTTACAGCATGTCAAGGTTCCTCCCCCACTCTGAACTCTAGGGTACAGATGTGGGGACTTGCATGAAAAACCTCCTAAGCTTATCTTTACCAGCTTAGGTCAAAACTTCCCCAAGGTACAAAATATTCCACCTGTCGTCCTTGGATTGGCCGCTACCATCACCAAACTAATACTGGTTACTGGGGAAGAGCTGTTTGGACGCGTCTTTCCCCCCAAAATACTTCCCAAAACCTTGCACCCCACTTCCTGGACAAGGTTTGGTAAAAAGCCTCACCAATTTGCCTAGGTGACTACAGACCCAGACCCTTGGATCTTAAGGGCAATGAACAATCCTCCCAACACTTGCACCCCCCCTTTCCTGGGAAATGTTGGATAAAAAGCTTCACCAATTTGCATAGGTGACCACAGACCCAAACCCTTGGATCTGAGAACAATGAAAAAGCATTCAGTTTTCTTACAAGAAGACTTTTAATAAAAATAAAAGTAAATAGAAATAAAGAAATCCCCCCTGTAAAATCAGGATGGTAGATATCTTACAGGGTAATTAGATTCAAAAACATAGAGAACCCCTCTAGGCAAAACCTTAAGTTACAAAAAAGATACACAGACAGAAATAGTTATTCTATTCAGCACAATTCTTTTCTCAGCCATTTAAAGAAATCATAATCTAACGCATACCTAGCTAGATTACTTACTAAAAGTTCTAAGACTCCATTCCTGGTCTATCCCCGGCAGAAACCAGCATAAGACAGACATACAGACCCTTTGTTTCTCTCCCTCCTCCCAGCTTTTGAAAGTATCTTGTCTCCTCTTTGGTCATTTTGGTCAGGTGCCAGCGAGGTTACCTTTAGCTTCTTAACCCTTTACAGGTGAGAGGAGATTTCCTCTGGCCAGGAGGGATTTTAAAGGGGTTTACCCTTCCCTTTATATTTATGACACAGCAGAGTTTTAATGAATTAAATATTGAAAAACCCTTGCTCTTGTGGATGCTTGAAAGAGGCCAGCATCACCAACATTGCACAGGAAGCGTATGAAATTGGAATCTGACTCTTGGTCACAGAAACGGCTATTTATACCCACTGGGCACCGATCAGATCACTGCGCAAGTGAACTGAGGTGAAGTTTATTCAGTTTAATCTTCTGTAATAATTTCTCTGGAAAATGGATGGTTGTGTACATAGGCACCAACTTTGTCATTTGCCGGGGGGTGCTCGACCCCCACCCCGCCCCTTCCCCCAAGGCCCCACCCCCACCCCATCTCTTCCTGCCCTGTTCCTCTCCCTCCCCCAAGTGCACCCCGCCCTCGCGCCTCTCCCTGCCCCCCAGCACCACCTGCATGTTGAACAGCTGATCGCGATGGGGGGTTGGGGGAGGAGCTGATCCGCAGGGCCGCTGGTGGGTGCTGACCACCCACTATGTTTTCCCTGCACCCTGTCTCTCTCCACTGGGATCTGGCATCCAAACCCTCTGCTCAGCAACTGCAGTGCAGCTGAGGTGACCAGTGCTTAATTTGTAATGAAAGAGGTGCCAGGGCTCTAGCAAGTTTTTGTGGCAAGCCCAGAAGTCCCGGGGCTATGAACTGCTAAGCCTAGATGTGCTGGGACTCATCCCTGACAAGCCCTGGTGCAAATAAAGCACTGAGGGTGACCCCCTCAATCAGGACAGGCGAAGTACAATTCTGATGCCCTTTACTCATACAATAAGGATAACATTTCATTACCCCCAAAATAAATACTCAAGTGTTTTGTAACCCAACACCAGCCAAAACAGATCATTTGGGCAACACTTAGGATTGTCCTGGAGTCTCCAAGAATGAAAGATCAAGCTTTAATTTAAAATTATGTCATGTGATGAAACCTCCAGGAATACATCCAACCAAATTGGCAACACAGCTCTGTTCGCTGGATACCTAGGCAGAGTAGGCATGTTTATGAAAATACAGTCTGGCCCTAAAGCCTTCGCCTGCCCCCCTATCCTCCCAGCTGCCAGGGGACAGCTCATTCAGATCTTGCTTACAAATCATAATTTGAAATTATTAGGTTGGCCAACATCACCGAAACAAATGTCATAAAAAATAACAGCTGTGTGATGAAGCAAGTCTTTGCTCACACTTTCCAAACCTATTATGCTTTTTCAGGTACCAGTATTTTATCATATACTATATATGCTTTTAAAGCATGTAGTAATGTTCCAATTTCAATTCAAAATTCCAGCTGACTAAATTGGCAACACAGTTAAAAAACTAGTTTAGTTGACTACCGGGATGGGGGGTGATGGGGAAATTCATAGGGGGTGGGGTTTGTAGGTAAATCCATGGCCAATGTTGTTGTTCTCCTGCCTACTTATCCATCTCTGTGCTTAGTTTGTGAGCATTTTGTGGTGGGGACTGTGTCTTCTCATACATCTAGAAAATACTTACCACCCTGTGGGTGCTACAGTAAACAAAGAATTGTTGAAAGCAATAGGATTCCTGTGCATAGAGGAGACCCAAAGGTAAATAACCCACACATTAGTGTGTTTAAGTAAAAATGTTAACTCTTCCTTGAGGCAGTTTAATTGAAATGTCATCATTGTAAGTATCTTTCAGGGAACCCAACAAAAACCACCTTTCTACTGTACTAATCTGGATTAGCTATAAACTAACCAACAGTTCATAATCCATAGATGTCAGCAGTGCTTTTTGTTTTATTTACTCAGTTAGCTGCTGACTAATTGGCACAGCTGCCAGATCATGCTAAATTCTAATTAGGAAAGTATTTTTGTGCAGTTTACCAGAGAACAGGTTTGACTGGCAAAACCCACTGTAAAATGCTGCCTGGCCTCCACTGCCCAGGAAAGAACCAGTGACACCCCCAGGATCTGCAGGAACTTTCTTCAGGGCACCACTTACTGATAACACCAAGAATCTCCAGTAACACCCTTCCCCCCAAACAAAACCATTCCACATACATCCAACAGCTAAACAACTCCCCTGACCCAGGAGTTTCCTTGCTAAACCCTCCCTGCCCCTGGCAGCTCATACCCAGTCCGCCATAAGCAATCAGCCTGCTTCCTCCAGCTCCCCTCTTCAACTGTGCTCTGTCAGCCTTGGTAGGAATCAGGTGCTCATCAGGCAATCAGACAACCTACCCCAGCTGTGTATAAAAACCCCCCTCTACCAAGCCCAAAGGCCTGTTCTTAAAGGGGCTCTGCCTCAGAACAGGCCTGGCTGGCTCTAGTCTCCCTAGCCCTTAAAAGGGCAGAGCACCCTGTTATACCCACAACTGGCAGCATGTAGTGTTTACAAACAGGAGTTTTCTGATGATGCCTTCATTTCATTTCCTTCTTTTCCTGGAAAGAGATTGAATTTGATTTACTAATGATTAGAGTCCCCTGAACTAGAGTTCTCTCTTAAATCAGAATTGAGGAGATGGAAAGTTACAACCACCAGCACATCCTATGGATATTATCTGGATATTGAAATACAGACATGATGTGATATTCAGAATACCCACAATGGGTGTATGGCTTATTGATTGTCCACCGTCATATGATTAACCCTGTAACAGAAATGCTAGTAATAAAGGAAAAGGATTGAATAGTCATGTTGGTTCCAGAGAAACCCCAAATCTGAAAGCAGGTGGTAAGACGGTTACATATGACTTCTGAAAGGGCACAACAGCTTTCATCTTTTCTAATGAATTTTCAATGTCATGCAAAATGACTTGGAACTCTACAAAAGAAAAATGATTTAAGGTCAGCCGAGCAAGTACGGCTGAACAGAAAAACTCCCATGTTTTACTCCTCTGGCAACACACACACAGGGAAAAACAATTATTTTTGATACATATTGAAAGAGGTATAAATGAGAAAGGTTTTTGTGATGTAAATATGGAGATGGCGTAAAACAACTCAAATATTCTTAAGATGCTGCATTAGAGCTGGAGGTCCCAAATATATCGTATCCAAGGTGATAAATTCAGGGCTGAGAGAGACAGACAGTGTGAAAGTATTATTATAAGGAGGGGAGGGGGAAGAAACAAGCTGAAGGTAGTGAGTCATAAAGATATCTAAAGCGAGGTAGTGAGTCGTAAATATATCTGCTATACTATCTGAGTTTTCGGCAACAGCAAACTGTAGAATGGTAGTTTACCATCCAATCACAATACCATCTACTATTAATAAATATATCAAAATCCTAAGGAAAGGTGGCATTCCTCACCCATTACTGCCTGCCCTCTTCTTCCCACACACAACTCAACAGCAAATCCAGTCTCCCCTCTCTGTCATTTCCTCCTATAAAGAAGTGTCCCTGTTTCTGCAAAGATGTGTGCAGCAATGAATGGTGGACCATGTGGGCAGAGACTTTGCATGTGTAGAAGAGCAGTTCAGTGCTGGCTAGTGGTAATTGACCAAAGTGGTTCCAAGACTATTATGCCATCCCCTAGAAGTGGAGCCTTAGACAGTCTCCAACTGAGCCTGTGCCTGCTTAAGGCTGCCCCAGAAGGAATATTGAAGAGACAGTAACAAAATGTAAAACAGTCACAAGAAAAACCAGTAACGATTCAAGTGTTCTGCTCCCTTCATGCCCATGACTATTGTTATTCTGTACTTCCAGCATTTGGCCGCTGCTGATGAGACACTGTCAGAACCCAGTAGCCCAAGAATCGCTGTGGGGAGAATAGCAAAGTTACATCATGAATATCAATTTCAAACAACAGCCTCAGCCTCAGTTCAACTACAGAGCAGTAACACAGGGAAGCCTGAGCGATACTCCTTTTGGAAGAGCAACTGGAACTTATTTTCTCTCCAGACACATCCCACATCCCAGGGCAGTCTGCCATATTCAAGGTAAAACATCTTCCTAGAGACGCATAACCACATCCGGCCTGATTCTCCTGAAAAGAAGTGTGTGTGTTTTAGGTCTTTCTTTAAAAAAAAAAAAAAAATTACTCAGCAGCAAACATGAAAAATCCTTCACGTTTGTTTCCAGTTTCACAAGAAAAAAACGTACCCAAAGTGTAACTCTAGGTACCAGAATGAGAGGAAAGGAGATGGAGAAATAAGGAGATACTGAAAGACTGAAAGTCAGATAATCTAAAAATGTCTCAGACTCGGTTTGCGGGTCTGGCATTTAGAATTTGGCCCTGCAATTGGAACTTAATTAACGAATCTGTGGATGATGATTCATGAACCATATTGGAACCTAACTCATTCTTCTATAGTACTCGAGAGACAATACAACTAACATGAGTCAGCTTTTCTTTTGTTTTTTAAAATCCCTACAGTCAAGAGGATGGCGTGGTCCGACTTTGAATTAGAGCTGGTCAGAAAATTTCAGCACAAAGGAAATTATTTTTTTTAAATGTTGCAATGCTCCCCCACCTGCTTTTCTGACCAGCTCCATTTTTGAACACACACTTGTGGAGTAAAAAGGTGTCATTTTTACATAATCCCTTCTTCAAAGATAGCCTTGTTTAGAGTGAGAGTCTGTCATCAATTAACAGTGTACTCAACTGCTAAGCCACAACTGACATTCTAGGGCACCTGCTTTCCATTTAGAAAGTTACCCACTTTAAACAGTAAAGGTTAACTTAAGGGAGAGATTTTCAAAGGCACAAATGACAATTAGGTGCCTGTCTCCCCTTGTCCCTATTAATGAAATTGCCTTATGTTAATAGGGCAAAACCACCCAGGCCCCACTAGCACCTGCTGGAGAGGAATGTTCCACTGCATGTTCCATAGCACAGGTAGAAAGGCATTGAGCTCTCCTACTATGCAGTAATGAAGACCCGGGCCCTTTTGGGAGGCAGAATGCAATCTACCCTACCTTGTCATGTTCAAGACGTTCAAAATCCTGGGATTCCTTCCTCCAGATACCCGAATGGATGGAAATGGCTAAGTCTTCACTGTTGAGTTAACCCTGGCTCTTACCTGGGTTTTAGCCCAAACCCCTCTATTGTCCACACAGAAAAACCTTTTACCCAGACTCTTAGGTGCTTTAAGCCAGGGTTAGTTTACCCATCTGGGGAGGTACAGATTAGAGCCCAGGATCCACTTTAACTGAGGATGAAACCCACCAGTTTTGCAGTGAACACACAGGATAAATCACTTGAGTACTGTTAGTCCTCCAGTGCCTTCTCACACTCCCCCCCCCCGTGCCCCCGCCAGCAAGACAGACAAGTTCTCTCACAACTGACTGGGAAACAATCCTAGAGCATCTCAGTACAAAGAACCATGGGATTTGCCCCAGAAGTCCTAGTGACAGTGGGGGTGCAGCACCAGTGAGGATGCAGTAACTCAAGTATGGCTTAGCAAGGGGGATGCTCAAACCCAGACTGGGCTAACCTGGGTGCCAGTCAGGGAGTGTCTACACTGCAACAACAAAAAAACACACACACACCCCAAAACGGCAGTGAGTCTCATAGCCTGGGTCATCTGACTGAGGCTTGCACAAAGGGGCTAAAAACAACAGAGTAGATATTCCGGTTAGGCTGGTCCCTGGACTTTGAGACCCTCCCTCCTCACCAGATTTCAGAGCGTGGGCTCCAGCCGGAGCAGAAAGGACTGTGTTGTTTTATATTCAAGTAATCCGCTAATAATTCATAGCTAGCAATTTAACAACAGTCTTTATTGGATACATAGTTAACATATACACAGAGCATCTTAGCTTAGGTCAGCCTAACCTCTAACCTAAAACCCACAACCTCCTTCAGCTGTCAGCTCCCACACCTTGGAAATTCTAGCCATTCTCTTAAAGCCACAGTAACACCACATCTCACTTCCTTAGCACAAATGTATTTGTATATATAACAGAATTTTCTAAACAGCTTTCTATAAATCTTTGAAAAGGTCTCCTTTGGCTTTGTCGCAGTCAATGATAGGAGATCATATTGTGATGGGTATAAACGTTACACGTTATCAGTGTAAGAAAGAGACCGTTAGAGGAGTCAGATCTAAATCTGGAAAAAGCAGAGAGAATTTGCCAGACTGCCTTCTCCAGCTGTCAGCTGCCACACCCTGAAGATTCTGTTCATTCCCTTAAAGCCAGAGTAACACCACAACATCTATACTGCTATTTTGAGCCCCGTAGCACAAGCCTTGAGAGCCCATCAGTTGACCCAGGCTCTGCTGCTATGGCTTTTGTTTGCAGCATAGACATACCCTCACCGTGCAGTGAAGACCTGCTCTGACTTTGAACATTTGATGCTACAGCTCCATTCAGAGAACAAAAATTAAAAGGCATCTCCTGTAACTATGCCTGAATATGCAGACTAAGGCCAATTTTTGCTCTCAATTATACATGTGTAAATCTGAAGTTCATTCCATTGTGTTCTGTACAAGGCAAATTTACAACACTGTAATTGACAGCAGAATCTGGACCTATTTCACCTTCCTCGTCTGTTTTACTATTCTCGCTGAAGAAGAAAACTTTACAAACTACTTCATTTTTTTTAAAACCAGTTACCAAGCACAACTCAAATGTAAATGAGCAGGCAACAGTAAAGGGCAGCTGAGAGGCCCCGCCAGCAATAGTCTGGATGTAACATGATTACCGTGGAACCGTAGGCTCTGAGAAATCCGACTTAGGCTTTGTCCACACTATCGCGGTAAGTTGACCTAAGCTACACAACTCCAGCTACATGAATAACGTAGCTGGAGTCGACATAGTTTCGGTCAACTTACTACAGGGTCCACACTACGCTGGGTCAATGGGAGACACTCTCTCGTCAATTTACCTTAGTCTTCTCATTCGGGGTAGAGTACTGGGGTTGACTGGGGAGCGATCTGCAGTTGATTTGGCGGGTCTTCACTGGACCAACTGAATCAACCTTGGTGCATCGATCCCCAGCGTGTCAATCCGGGGGGTAGTGTAGACGTAGCCTTAGGAAGCACATCTCCTCCCACCTTGTATTTGGCACAGCCCTGCACAGCATATTGAGAAAAAATCCCCTTATATAACTACCAACATGTCATAGCTTCCCGCCATCACTTAAATAACTCTCACCCTTCCCCAATAGCAGCCATATGTTTCAGTGTAGTGTGTAATGCCAGCTCAATGGTCTAGATATAGTGCGCTACACACTGCCACACATGAACCCTGGGTGTGATCATCATTCCTACTCCTTTCTTTCCTGAATCAGCAGATACAAGGAGGGAAGCCCCTAAAGGCCCTGAGAAAGGAAGGTCTCCATGTCACTTAGCAAATGAACAAAATGGCCCTGAAACTTGTGTCCAGATACAAAACTTCCTTAAAGTTCAGGGGCAGCTGTTTCTGGGGGTTTTGTTTACAGTCCTTACCATTTTCTGGGCTCTGGAGAGAGTCCCTATTCAATCCCCCTCCTCCAGAAATATAGTAATGGTCATGATGCAGGGTCCTGGGAAAGGCTGACTGTGACTGATGGAGCTATCTGGATATTCAGTTTAGAATTCCGTATCAAACTTCCCACTTTTGTGTAATTTCTGTATAAATATCTGTGTTGGTGGTATGCGGGGAGTGGTGGGAATGCTCACACATGGCCAGGTACCTATTGCCAAGGTATATTGAGAGTCACTAAGGGGAACAAAAACCAGTCTCAAATTGGTTATTAGAGAAGCATTAAGATTAGTGGATGTAGGACTGGCGGGAGTAATTATGGAGCACTTGGCTTACGTACCTTTTGCAGTGAGGACTGAAGGGTGAAGCAGCTCAAACTGGTTTTGAAAGATACATAATAGGTAACACTATTTCTTGTATCTGGAATAGAGGCTTTTGAAAGAATAAAAGGAACCCAATTTCCTTTGGCGTGGTCTACACTACAAAGTTAGGGTGACAAAAGTCACCTTGTGTCGACCGATTTGTGCATGCGTCTGTCCAGTGGTCCTGGCTCAAGGTATGAGTATCAACCACAGGGCAGACTGTCAGGGAACAGGGCACAAACCCCAAACTGGTTGTGAGCTCCTTACTCAGATTTCACCAACCACTTATCAAGTGTGGACTCCTCAGGCATTATAACAGCCTTAACATGGAGTCACAGACAGTCCCCCGGGGTATTCCAATCTAGTTTGACACCCAGGTGAGCATACCTTGGTGAAAGATCACAGCAATATTTAGGTTACTCCCAGTCCCAAAGGATCAGCCACTTACCCCTGGTCAATTGTACCTTAGATCTCACACCAAAGACAACGCTTGTAGCCAATCCTATAGTGAACTATATAAAGATTTATTAACAAGGAAAAGGAAATAAGAGAGTTATTTACAAGGTTAAAGCAGGTAAACACATATACACATAAAAGAGTTCCAGTCTTAAGTTTCAAAAGGTAATAGAAGCTACTATAATAGGCAAGCTCTAGATGTCCTTCAGTGCTAACCCACGCCCAGCACTGGGGATCTTTTGCTTATGCTTTGTCATTCTTGTTCCTCAGAGTCCAAGCAGCATGAAAGATACAGTTTCTCCTTGTTAGCACTTTTTATTCCTTCCCCCTTTCTGCTTCAAGTTGAGCAGTTGGGAGGAATTCAGTTGCACTTTTCCTCTTCATGGGAGGTTTCAGGGAGAGAAGCAAACAACAAAGTCTTTGGTCCTCTAATGTTCCACAGTGATTTGTCTGGTGTTGATGGGCCTTCTTTCATTGGGCAGGAGATAACATCTTCTGTGGCAAACTAGTATTTCACACTTGGTAATGCATTTCTCCTGACTGGTGATTTACAGTTACAGAGCAAACACTTAAAACTTTACTTTATAACATGGGATACAGATATTATAAGTGAGATTAGAGCAGGCAGCAACTTACAAGCATTCCATAAAGTCCAACACATCACATTTTATACCTCTAATACCTATGTTAACACAGATGAGCCAAATTGGCTTGAG